CTCTTCTATCCTCAGTTTTTCGTGCCTTGATACGACTATTGTCAACTCATAGAAATATCCAGTGTTTTTCCCTTTTCAGGGAGAGCGCTTGTGCGAACAGTCTCTTGTTCTCAGGCGTCAGATGGTCATTTATGTATACATTTGCACTTTCTGACTGAGGAAAGCCGAGTGTCTGGGTTGTTAGGCGAGCCTTGCGTGCTTTACTCAGAAATTCGTTTTTTTTCTAGTTCCGAAAACAGAATCTAGCTATTATGTTTGTGTCCTTTTTCGCAGGCGCACGGTGAATTGTATCGATATCAGCGGGACATACAGGACATCCGATTACATAGCCCATTTTTTGAAGAATAGTGGTGCAGTCTTCACCTTTCTTAGAGGGCACACCCTTTATCTCGATGTTGTTTATTCGTGAACGCTGTTCTATGTCAGTTATTTTAGCAGTCAGTTGATCATTAAGTTTCTGTAGGGACTTGTTTTCAGCAGTGAGAGACTTTTGTTTCCTTTTCATTTCCTCGTAGAAAGCATTCATGACTGACACACTTTCACGAAGCTGTGAGATCTCAGTGCGAAGCTGTTGCACTTCACGCGCCAATTCTGCATTAGAGGGCATCATGCAAAAACAGTTGAACTATTGGCAGCAGCGACCACGGCAACAGAAAAGAAAACTGATAATACAAAGCAGTGCTCAACCAACCTGCGTAAACGAAGAATGTTGTTTAGTGGAATGGACTTCCAGCCACTGTGACCGCCACTGCCAAAATGCGATCAGAGCCAAACGATGTCAAGCTTATGTAGGGTCTCCGGTAGATGTCTTGGTGGTCTGTGATGGCACAGAGCTGTTTTCAGTTGATTGTCTTGAGAAGGTGGTGACGTTTATTCACTGGTTATTTCTAGCAGACGTGTTGAGGATCCAGAGGAAATCCTCAATAGCCACGATTGTCGATAGCAGGTAACCGTCACAATCAGTGCAAGTGAAGCACCCGCGTAAACGAAGAATGTTGTTTAGTGGAATGGGCTTCTAGACGCCGTGACTGCCACTGCCGAAATGCGTGACCGCCACTGCCAAAAGCCTCGCGCAGCTCGAGCTATCATCAGCTGCGCAAGAGGCATGGCGCGATGATCAAGAAATGATTATGGTGAAGGTGGCACTACACTGCTTCCATTGATGCCACACGCGCAATCTTGCTGGCGCCTTTGATCACCACCTCCATCACAAGCGCTGCTTTCATCACGTCGTCCAGTGAAGGGTCGGGAAGTTCCAGGAGAGGTGTCTGCATGGTGAGGTTGTTTATGCCGCAGACGAAACAGTCCCGTAGCAGCGAGTCCAGCTGGTCCCCGAAAGCGCAGGTACTCGCCCAATCTTGTAGTGCAGTGACCAACTGCCCGAGACTCTCCCCTTCCCGGCAGATCCGGTTGTTGAAGCGGAAACGCCCCATTACCGTGAATGACGCTGGACTGAAGTACGAGCGCAGTCTAATGAGCAACTCGCTGAGCGTCTTGGTATGCGGTGTAGCAGGTATTAGGAGGTTGAGCAGGAGACTGAAGACTTGGGTTCCGCAACATGCCAGAAAAATATCCCGTTGTTTCTCCTTGGGCCTGTCAGCGCAGAAAAGTACGTGAACTTGCTTTTCATAGATGGGCCATGCGGACCAGTCTTCCTCGAATGGCTCGAGCCTTCCGAACAGCGGCTTGGTGTCAGATGAGTGGGGCGTTATTTTGCCGCTCTCGATGGCAGGAGTCGACTCGTTGCCTGAACTCGTCGCCGGTATCACGGTCTTCAGGGCAGATCGTTACACTGATAACTGAGGATGGTACTCGAAGTGCACCAGCACCGTTGCCTACGTGATTAGTTGTTTACTGTGCTCAAAGGCCATGTCCTGTTCCTTTTTCCACGTCCAATGCTGGCCATCTTGAAGCAGAATGTGCACTAGCTTCAGATGCGCAGACACGTTGGGCAGGAACCTCCAGTAGAAATTGATGAGGCCAAGGTAGCTTTGCAGCTCTTTTAAAGACGATAGTCTTTCTTGGGGACCTTCGACGCAAAACTTTGGTTATTATTTGAACGTGATAGCCTTAACAAGCTGGTTTCACAGAAATTCCAGTGTCAGCGTCGCTGTCAGCGTCTCCAGTTGCGAGCGAAAAAATATCATCTTGTTTGTGACAAAAACAAAAAATCAGAAACCTGTCAATAAAATAAGTAGCAAAAACTTTAGTACGAGTGAAACTCAAAACCAGGCTCTTTGCGTGGCAATCAGAAGTTATACCACAGAGGCATGTCAACGGTCGAAATTGATTCGGGAAAAAAAACATATGAATTTCATGTAGTAGAAAGTCTCATTATTATTGTATCCAGGCCAAAAAAGTGAGGCGTTATGTTTACAGTTCTTTTGTTCATGTAGTCAAAGAAATTTTTTCAATCCGCACAATAGTAAGTAATAGAAGCGTAGAATCGTGCTAGGCGTTGAAACATGTGAAATACGCAATGAGTGGGTGTTGGAAAGGCTCAGCCATTACAGGACGCTCAAACTTATGATTGCGTGTTGCTTTGCGCACGCGTAAAGGCCCCTTTGCCGATTCGCAAAAGGAACAATTATGGCACAGTGGGCACTATGATAGTTTGAAACAGCCAGTGTTGCACGCAGAGTTGTTTGTTCCCTCATGGCACGGTTGAGGCATACACAGAGACCGAAGCTAGGCTAGTAATTGAAAAGGTGATTCGAACAGGGTCCAGTTACGCTATTGCGGTGTACTCTTGAAAGCGAAGCTCAAGTGTACTCCAAGTTTTGCAATTGTTGTGTTTGAAATTGTGTAATTGCTGTCACACAACATACATAATACTCCACAGCGTCACCACTGCCGTATCTGCCAATTGCTACTGCATGTACTAGTAATAATAATATTAATAATAATATTAATAAAATAACAATAATACTATAATAAATGAAATTAAATTTTTTTTTTGCACTACAAGGCTAGACAGCCAATTTGCTTACGATTGTTCATCTGCTAGTCCGTCACTGCTGGGCAAAGGAGATCGCAGGCTCCATATATGACTTTTTCAAGCTGCTTATAGCAGCTTTTATATTAGCCCATGTCACTGTGTAACCGTGCTTACAAAGAAAATAAATTATTATTAAACAAGCAAACGAACAAGTTGCGTGAAGTGGAGTTGTCATTGCGGTCTCTGCTGTTGGAACCTGGCGCAAAACTAGTCCATGTACCTCAATGTAGATAAACATCCTCCCCTTCGCTATGCCTCATACATGACAAACGCGTTTTCCTACAAGAAACTACGCAATGCCAAAAACAGCCCAAGAAGTGACGTGGGAATGCAGTGCACCATTCGCTGTAGACGCTTGCATGTCGCTGCCGTCAATCACAACACGTGCCCGCCGCATCGCTGGAGCATTATCGTGCTGCAGCGCCACTACCGTATTTACTCACGTAATCCTCGCACTCACATAATTCTCGCACCCCCCCACATTGCCCAAGAAAAATACGATTTCTTTTTTTTTTCCTCGAGTAATTATCCCACACCCGAAAACTGCCGCAATAATGTTGTCTGCACGTTCCAGCCACTGATGATGATAGTGCATGCCATCTGGCGCCATCTCTTGAGCATCGAGCATACTATTGCACACACATTCAATCCAATCTAAGCCTAAGCCGAAGTGGTCAGTGCACGTTGCGGCGTGTTTTGTATGCTGTGTCGATAATCTTGGCACGTTATGGGGTGATACTGAAGCTACACGGCTGCTTCAGGTTGCAAGTGATAGATCATGCACTAAACGACGGCAACAGGACTGCCGGTAGGCCTTTCGGAGTCTATGAGTTTTGTGTTCGCTACTGGTGACGGCAGCTGAAAGCCACGAAGACGCGTTGGGCCTGCCATGGGCCTAAAACTGCGATTGATGATAAACTTATTTCTTCAGAAGGAAACTGCGGACGATTCTGTTAAATAGCCATCAGCCCAATACTGACGTCATACGCTTACCTTTTGAGGGCTCCTGTTGAGCGACGAACGCTATCGTTACGCCCGCAACGCCCACAAGCTTTGCGTATGGTATTCTAATTCTCGACTATTTGCTTGCACTTTTTGTGTCTCAAATAAATCTTGCCTTGTGTTGAACCTCTGCTTTTATTGTTGAGGTAAGTTCTAATTAATACTTCTTAAAGCTTGCTGTAAGTTGCTGGTGTAAGAATCCCAATTTGCGGCCAGTTCGTTTTCTTTTTTCGCTCTGTACGTTTTCGTGGAAAGTTTCCCCCGCGTCATTCTCGCACCCGCCAACTTTGCATCAGTTTTCCGGCAAAAAAATTGCGAGGTTTATGCGAGTAAATACGATAGTTCTCATGACGCCCATGCAGCCCGCCTCTCCGGCAGAGCTTTCAAACTGAGTTTATTCTAGTAACGTTGGCAGAAATGAAGGTTCAGACTGGTTCTGCCCTCTGCAGCACAGCTACATACAGGAAAAGCCTTGTGCAAATGTTGCTTGCTCTCCTATGCATCTACTGATAAGTAGTGCTGCCCTTCATGTACACGCATGTACAGATAAATATTGTGTATGCACCTTTTCCAACTAGGTTGTGGCTTTTCAGGAGATGGTGCACACCATGTGTACGCTCATCACACGGTGAAGCCGGTGACAGGCCAGGCTACGATCTTCAGCATTATCATTCAAAGTTCTGCCTATCTAAGAGTTTTCTCTGATGGATGCTAAGTCCCCACACAAAGTAGCTCTGACAACTGAATCCCCACCACAAAAGCCATCTTCATTTATGTAAACACAGAAATGAAGATGCATTACCAGTTTTTGTGTCAAGTCAAAGTTTATGATCATTTGTACCGAGGGTGGTTTTAGCCACTACATGCAAGGCAACAGCCTAGACTAAGCTGACGAAATTTCTTCAAAAGCTAACAGATAAATGGTGCTTCAAGTGCTTCCAGAGTTAAAAATTTGGTCTTATTGGATGAAAAAGGTAAGAGAAAAATAAAAAAAGAGTACCAATAAGAGATAGCAACCAGGCAGGGGCAGGCTTTTCTCAGCCAGTGAGGACAACAGCTGCGTCCAGCCTGGCTCCAACAGCTGCTGCAGGGGAGCCTCCATGTCCATGAGCAGCTGCACACACGACATCGATCATGGTGAAAGTAATCCACCCATCTGGGTGCATTTCCATTCTCTCAAGAGCACAGCAACAGACTGCAGAACAGTCAGGTGAGCTGGTTGTGGCCGTACATAGTAACGCTGGCACAATGGCAAGAACTGCACAGTGGCACTATGCAGGTTACCAAAGTGACACTGGCCAAAAAACTTTATCCTTTCATGAAATTCTAGCATGCCCAGTCAGGTAACTTTGTTTCACGTCACACTGACTGGAGCATCTGTGGCACAAACCTACAAGAAAACTCATGCTCGTAAGTACAGCTTTTCAGTTAAGCATTCAGTTAACTTTTGCGGCAATAACTCATCAATTTAGCTAACCAGGAAGCTAGCAAGTGGCAGTGTGAGGAATGTTTTTAAGCAATTAAGAAGCTTTTCAAGAGAAAGCTGCATGGATTTCCTTGTAGCTTTACAGCTGCTGGACACAACGCAATTCATTGCAAACAACTTTTGTCAATCAAATACAGTTAAACCTGCTTACAACGAGCCTCCGTATTATAAATTCCTTAATATAAGGAAGTTTTTCAATTCCACACCATCACTACATAGAAGCACATGTATTTGCAACCTCTATGTAACAAAGTAACAGTGTAAGACAACCTTGACATAACGAATTTTTTCCATGGAGAATCTAAAAATTTTGCTCCGCATTTTGGCATTTTGGTACGAGCATGCATCTTCTGTGGCTGCCCCGCCGTCGACGAAGTGCGGCGGCGCGCTTGGCGCACCAGGGGAGAGCGAGCGCTCGTTACTGCGCGCTGGTGTGCGCCAGGCGTACAGGCGGGCCTGCACCCCAAGAAACGGTATGGCCGCCATTCTCGGCATCGCGGGCACATGCACAAATGTGCTTACCCCCCCCCCCAAGCCTCTCAACCTAAATCAAAACAAAAAAAAGGGAAACTACTTTTGCGCGTTGGCAGTGCCACGCTTTTAGTTAGCGTCACATATGTGGGGCTGCGTTGCCTATGGAGGGCACTTTACTGAATGGTTTTCCGCCGTATCCGTGTCTATGTCGATCGCTCTTTGTTTTTGAAGCCGCGCGCACGTGCAGTTTCATTGCGCGCGCATCCTGTGGCCCCGACGACGTTCAGCTTTTTTTTTCCTTATTGTGATAACAAATACATAGACAGTCTCCGCAGATTTTTTTTTTTTTGCCGCCGCCGCCGTCATTCAGTGTGTGTGTGTGTGTGTGTGTGTGCGCGCGCGCGCACGTGCATGCGTGCGTGCGTGCGTGCGTGTGCGTGTGTGTGTGTGTGTGTGTGTGTGGTGTGTGTGTGTGTGTGTGTGTGTGTGTGTGTGTGTGTGTGTGTGTGTGTGTGTGTAAATAAACTCAGGAAACAAAGAAAAAAAAGCCGCCCGCGCTCAGCACCCTGCACCTTGTCACGATGCGTTGACGCGCGCTTATCTCTCATGCGTACTTTGCCCCGTGAGTTGAGGGGAAGGTTAGATGCGTGTGTGTGCGCTTATCCTTCGGTGAGGAAAATTGCGCGCCTTTGACTTTGACAGGAATGATTGCCTTTAGTTGCGAAGCGCACAAAAATCTCTTCGCTCGCTGGCAGGTGCCGTTGGCAAAAGAATACACTTTTCAAACACAGCGAAGTAACAACTGGGGCACTTTTTAGTTCGCACTCATACCTGTACCTGTAATTACGTTTTGTGCCTTATTTTTCTTAAACAGCCGGTTAAGCGTCGAGCGGTACACGTCGTTAGTTCGTTTTCGTCCTGTGCATGTTGTTTTCATGCATCATTTGTGCGTGAGTAACGCGCTGAACGTTTTGATCTGCTTGCCATTCTCAGCGTTACATTCTATTTTCTTGTTATCACATTCATTGCAGCAGCCTTGCAGCGGAACTGTGACTTTTCTTAATTTCAGATAAACGTGTTCTCACCACTGCGGGAATGTCAGATTAGGTGCTGATGGAAACTCTAGGAGACCACATTGACGACCGATTTCGGAGGTCGGCTCATCATGCGTTTCCGTTTTGCGCCGTGAGTTCGCAGGCTGGTAGCTTTCACGATTAGACGATTAGTTCTGGCAACATGACGGTGCGTTGTATGCAATGCTATAAACGTGATAGCAAAAAATTGGAATGTTATAAGAAGTAAGGCCTACAGCCAATTCTTTTGGATCCGATATCGCGGAACTCATACAAAACACTGGTGTGAGCAAATAAGGCCGCTCCATGGAGAAGTGCTCGTATAAGACGGGTGGTTTACTTTTTGTTTGAGCATTCGACGGCAGATGTCATCTCGTGCAGTTTCCAGGCGATATGGGATATGCCGACTCTTTTGGTCTCTGCTTTAACAGCGCTCGCGCGCATTTACCCGTTCATGAAAGTTACGATGGGCGGGGGCATGTTACGGAACATGGCAGTGATAGCAAAAACCCGCTGAGAGGGTCCATACAAATGCCATCGCAATAATAACGCAGTTTTTTTACTGTCAAATAGGTGTTTTTGGTTAGCTATGCCTTCATTTCCCCTTTTGTTCATTTGTGCATTTATTTTTCGATTTTCGGGCCAAACCGGCATATAACGAAATTATCTTTATAACGAATTTTTCCAGAAATTTATCAATTTCGTTATATCCAGGTTTAACTGTATGAGAAATTTGTTACTGTTTCCTGCCATCCATATCCACAAAGTTTCTCATGTTTCTATGCTGCATATAACTCAAAGGAACACTCTATGAATCCTGGCAGTGAGAAACAGCAGGCCTAGATGGTGTGCTGTTTCTCACTCAGTATGTACCAACCAGTATGTCTAAATGAAAACAAAAAATGAAAGTACATTTTTGATAGGGGTGTGCAAATATTTGAGAGATTCAAATATTCGTCGAATATTGCAGCTGTAATATTCATATTCAATTCGATACCACATATTCGAAAACTTAGAATATTCGAACCAACTCGGATATTCGATGTTCACGAATATTCGTTCGCATATGTCACTGTGAACATGTAAACATGCAGACCATGCCAACTGCTGCCGCGCCCTCATGCACAGGACGGCAAGCGCGTATCACTCGTGGAAACGAGGGCAACTCGCTGCCACCGCATTGGCTCGACAAAATAGTCTTCACACCTTTTCTCGATCCCATGCTCAGTGACCACGAAGAAAAAAAAATATCTCAATGCAAGGGCAAATGCATGCGTATGCGTTACGTGGTGCGGCGGCTGACGGAGTGAGCTTAGTAGGCGACACACTGCACACATCTAGCTATGGCAGCGCTCAGCTTGACGTAAGATGGTAATGTGTTGCATGTATAGCCACGCCAGTTTTCGCTAATGAAGCACCGTACAAATGTACGCGCATGTCAAAGCCTGACGAGTCGTCCCTCAGCTGTGTCACTACTTCAGCATGTATACTCTTTTCCTAGTTCCAAAATGATTTCATGGTAGTGGATATGGTCATGTGAATGAGCCGAAGTGTTTTTCCATGCAATGGCAAATATAGAAAAGGCCATGCACTTTTCGTAACGTTACAATGGCGCAGTTACATATAGTTCTTCATTGCTAACGGCAGTGCAACAAATTAATGAATAATTCCGCTGCGTTCCCGACAGCGCCTCTGAAAATCGGTCGTACACGCATCGCGCTCGCGCGGCAATGTCTCCTGCAATCAACCATCCGTTACACTGTTGCTACGATCTCGCTCTTTTGCCAACATCAGTTTACTGCCAACATCAGTTTACTGCCGTCGGCAGCCAGTGCGCTGAAGGAGGTCGCGATGCGACAAAATAGTCTATTCTATGGTGCCCTTGCCGTCGAGAGCTATGGCTCTGTTAACAAAAAGGCATATTTGGGGTGTCTTTCTATCACACATCAGTAATCATCTATTTCATGCTGTTACCTCGCGTTACAGCTGCGCGCCCGGTACACCTTCGTCGCGATCGTGCAGCTATCAGCCCAACACAGCATTCTTGGTCGGAAAACGGCGAGCGTGTAGTTCTCAAGAAAGGCGACGGAAGCAAATCAGATAAAGTAATGCTGTGTCATTGAAAAATGCCCAAAGTACTCCTATTTCCCTTGGTGGCTTGACTGGTGAGGACTTGAGAGAAAATTAGAAAGAAAACTGTAAAATTTAGGTCTTTTAGGCCAAAACTGATAGTGTAGAAACCTAGATGGATTGTGACCACCTAGGTTGCTTTAATAATCGTTTAGATTTAAGTACACGGGCGTTAACTGTTACACAACCAACCAGTGGCCTCATGCTCACTATTCATCATGACAAATACGAAAGCCTTTTCATTTTTTTTTTTGTAATAAAGTGCTATATATAAAGAAAGATACATAAGGCTTGTTCAATATACAGATTGAATCCAAGACATCACAGTCACAAGCTATTAGTCTCATGCTTTCTGGCAAGTACAAATGATGACATTTTTTTTCTTTTTGTGCGCAATGACTGACTATAAAAACAATAGTACTGTTTCCAACATATCAATCATCTCATACAACTACACAACGGCCTTGCTGCTGAAAAATAGTATGGCATTGCCCTCTTCGGTTTGCAGACGCACTACAAGAAAAACAAGATACACCCACGAAGATTTGCTCGCGCCGATTTTCACAAGAACAAACGCTCACAAGAACGCTTTTTTCCCTGAACAGTGAGGGACTGGAATTCCCTACTAGTTGAAGTTCATGAGTCGAATGATTTCATGGATGCTTTGGCACACCACTGTTTCTTGTGAAATTTTTCGCTGAAGTCAAGCGGTGATTGGTGCTTCTTTTTTGTACATTATGTTAATTTCATGTTGCAATGTATTCGCATGTATATGTTTTCTTTTGTTTTGTTCTCTCTTATGTTATAATGCCCCTCCTGCTTGGGCAGAGTATTAGCCTGCGGTATTTCTAAATAAAATATATCATTGAATATATGATTCAGTGATCTCACTGGGGCCGCCGATTAGGAGCAATTTTCGAAGCAGTCAAAGTTTAGTTTGAAGCCTTTTGG